ATATATATATATATAAATCATATAATAATATCATATTATATATTCATATATATGATATATATCAACATTGTATGCATTATATGAACTGTATTATGATATTCTACGAAGCGCAAACTACGAAGAACCTCCACCGTAACCAAGGACGCGATTGTTTGTTACAGGGAGCAGATCACGTGGGCCGTACTGAAGCTGCGGGAGGACGGGGAGCTGCAGACGATGGAGAACACGTGGTGGTACGACAAGGGCGAGTGCGGTGGCGCCGACACGAAGGACGCGTCACAGAGCGAGCTGACGCTCTCAAACGTCGCCGGCATCTTCTATATCCTCATAGGCGGTCTCGTCCTTTCCATGATCACGGCCGTGCTCGAGTTTTTCTACAGATCGCGCGTTGAGGCCCGCCAGAATAAGGTGCGTAGCTTTACGGTGCGTCGGTGAAGGGGTGTGGTGGGAGCTAGGTGATTCTAAGGTGCGTAGCCAGAATAAGGTGCGTAGCCAGGATAAGGTGCGTAGCCAGGATAAGGTGCGTAGCCAGGATAAGGTGCGTAGCCAGAATAAGGTGCGTAGCCAGGATAAGGTGCGTAGCCAGGATAAGGTGCGTAGCCAGAATATGGTGCGTAGCCAGGATAAGGCGCGTAGCCACAATAGGTGCGTAGCTAGAAAAAGGTGCGTATCCAGGATGAGGTACGTAGCTTTATCGGAGTGTTGTGGGGGAGGGGTGAATAAGGTGTAAGTAAGAATAAGGTGTGCGGCTATAAGGTGCGTGCGTGCAGGGTACGAGCTTCGGTGTAGAGCGTCCCATTGAAGCATGTGGCACACACATTGGCTATACTATCGGGGAATTACGACTGCCAACCGGGAACACGTTCATACATTTAGTTGCCATGTGAAACTTAGCGTAGTTAAAACATGATGTACACAATGAAATTTGGTGCCCATCCAAAATTATCATTAGGTTTAGGTACTGTGTTGCCATGCGTCGCGTATTACGAACACATTACTCGCGATACGTAGCGAAAATTCACTCTTACGTAATCTTTCAAAAGAACGAGTGGGATTTCTACTTAAATTTTGGCGTACTCAATCGCCGGAAATAAAACTGATGTAAAATATATGAAGCCAGCTGCCAACACGTCGGGCGGGTCATCGTCGATACGCGTGTGCGTACTGCTATGGCATTAGACGTAGGCTTCTATCGTTTGTTCAATTGCTCTGTGTATGAAATTTGGGTATTTCTGCATTCAGCCGCTCGCGTCTAGTCTAGGTTACTCCAGGTACATGGTAGATATTTCAAGAGCAGTTAGTTATTCACAACGACTTCAGGTTACTACAGGGAACTGTACAAAGGGAAGATGCGCTGAAAAACTGCAGCCAACTTTAAACTGAATACGACGCGAACATTGTGATTCAATGCGAGCCCCCTGCTATGAATAGAAGCGGACGTAAATTACGTTATCATACCTAAACCAAGTGTACCTGAAACCTCTCGCTGTACCAATCGTAACTCGCTCAACGAACGGGACCGCGCCGCGAACCGAACAGATACGAAAATGACAATAAAAAATTAATATATAGCAAATATTATATAAATATAAATAATATTCCATGAAAGACCTATATTCTAAATAAACGCATGCATTCACATACACGATAAGATACACACGTGCGGGAACGTACACACGAGCTTGCGTGCACATACACGCGTGCGTACACGTACACGCGCGCGTGCAAATACACGCGTTCATGCACACACACGCGTGCGTGCACATACATGGAGCGCGGGTGCACGAGTAATGGACATACCTGGTATGTAACCCATCGGATGGTCGCATGTCGGATAGTCGGATAGTCCGATAGTCGGATAGTCGCATAGTCGCATCGGATAGTCTCATGTCAACTCCGACATCCTGACTCTACGCTCGCACACAGGTCTGAAGCTGTGCTTGCGCGCAAGCGATGTGAAACCGGTACCCAGGACCTCGGCGTTTATGGCCACAGAAAGTGTGTTAGCTTCGTTGCTTGACTCGCAGTGTTGTTATAACAATAATGCGTTCGCTCTAGCTGTGGATGACAGCGTGAGTGGGTAAGGGAGGAGTATTAAGGCATAGGTATAGGGCAAAAAATATCAGTAACTCGTCTGAGATTAATCTGAAGATTTTTCCTAGAGTCGCATCTTCAATTATATAATGGTAGTCAATTGTAAAACGCGATTCACGTTACGGATTTTCGCGTTCCGAACGTTGTTTTTGGAACGCATGACTTACATGAGGCGGGGAATTGCTGTATTTACTTGAGTTGGTTATGTGCCAAAAAATTATTTCTACAAACATGAAATCTACAATAAATTTTTATTATGATTGGACAGCGATCATATTTTACTTTATACTTAACCAATTAACTATCCGAATGACACACACGTAGCTGGCTTAGGTTGTCTGTTCATTTCACAGCATTTAACCGTAACCGAACGAAAAAATAGTTACGACAATAATTCTTACCATATAAAACAGAATCAAGACTTTTAGATGACAAGAAATGCATAACGCATCTAACACAAGATATTTCTCACGTAATATAAATCTAAATTGAAAGGTATCATATTATCTTAATGCCCCTATGAATAGATATTATCTTTGGTGGAAAGTTGACAGCTGAAAAATGGCATCCGCTGCGACAGTATCAGGAGATTTATTAATGCGAACATTTAATTGTGAGAATAGATATGATACACAGTCTATATTATAACTCCTTTATTCAACTTGTGTGATAATTTATCGACTGAAAATAACAGTGACTTTAACCAAGACAACTATGCCTCATGGTTTTGTCGTTGGTTGTATTCGAACAAGGCTGTGTTAGACTGCAATACTTCGCACACTCTATATATCGGCTAGCTTCTTTTTCAGTAGACTTTGTTCGTCTGCCAAGGTTACACATACATGTTCGCCTCACAGTTTATTCCACACGCGACAAGACAGGTATAATTAAGTACGAGCTTATAGCCAACTTTTTATGCGTAAATGTACGCATTATTCTAAATCGTTCAGCCCTAATGAATACCCGATGAGTTGTCACGTCTCTGTCGCTGCGGGATGAAATCGTTGATCGCAATATTTTCCTCGCAAAATATTTCTTTCAAATTGTTTCTTTTAAATAACTTCTAATCTTGCCAATTGTTTCGTTATACGGTCTTAACTAACACGTGGACCATTGCCGCGTGGTAATTCGAATAAAGTCATTATGGGTATTCCGTGATATTGCCAATGTTGTTTAAGCGTAATTTCTCTTTGTATTAACTAGAACACCCGTCAGCCTACTGATGGATGTGTTTATAACAGCGATGTTTGTAGTATAGAAATAGAGAATATAGTTGTCTTATTATACGTTATAACAGCAGCAATGGAATCGCATGTTAGCAAGGCAGGTTGTCGAACGACAAGGATTACAACAACAGTCTACTCTTTCATCAGTTGAGCCTTTTCTCCTTCCCTGTGCTTACTTAATAGAATAATATTGGATATAAAGTGACCAGCAGCTGCTGTTCCCATGGGTGGTCCCAGATTTTAGATGGCAGACTACGGATATATAGTTTTCTGGGAAGAGCGCGTATTTAATTAAGCGTTACGGTTATTAAATCATATTTAGTATGGAATCTTTTGACGGTAAACCCGCTGCTTTGAAATACACAAAGGTTGACATGAATGATTGCATTCAGCAGAATTTGAGAGTATGATTAAGATGAATAATGAAAAACATGTTGCATATTTATCTCGCAAGCAGAAACGCTGTTTGAAATGATATGCCTACAAGCATGAAAGAGGCAGAAAAATATTAACTCCAAAATTTAAAGTTAAAGTTAGAGATAAATTAAGTTCACTTTACTGGAATATGCATTTCGATGCTAAAAAGTTATAATCTTTTATGATCTTTATATAGAAAAATGGTATGAGATTCACAGGAAGCCACTAGAAAGCATCACTAATTTCTATAAACTGCACAAGATGTGAATTTTACAAATAAATTTTTAAATAAAATATTAGAAACATTTTAATAGGTACACTCTAAAAGAAAAGTAACCAAAATATGTAAGAACGATATTAACTAAGTTTAGATTTAATAGTGGTTAGTCGCTCATACAACCTTAGAACGAACTGTTAACCAACGAGCAATATCATCAACTATAGAAATTTCATTGTGCCTGTGCCCGTAGCGGCAAGTGGCTCCATCTAATACGACATATCGCATGGGAATTTCATAATGACGATAGCAAAAGTTCGCCTTTTGCCATTTCCCATCGCACGGCGTTCCGGGAATCGCTGCTCGCAAAGGTCACGAGTCGCAGTAAAAGGATGAAAGATGGGACGAGTTATAGCCTAAGACACTTCACGAATTATTATAGCTGGCGACTTTCCTTTCCCCTGGCGACCCACGGTCTCTGCCTGGCTCGATCAATACGCCTGCTAACGGCTACAGAGCGACCCTTGGTTCACTGCTGTCTCCTGCTGCTAGGCTATTTATCAGTGTATGTATCTGCGTCTTAGGCTAAATCGCAGAGCAGAATGGGCTTACCGCGGATTTTATTGCATATACACGATCCTTTAAACCTCAATATAAATGACCGAGGTCACAACTTACGCTTATGCTGCTCACGGTAACCTCGGTGCAATCCGTAACATAGAGAGCGATGCATTGCACGGTTTAAAGGCCGTTGTGGGACTCGTGTATACAGTGAAAATATGATTGATCACATGCAGTACTTACGCGTCTTCTTTGATATGGTGATAATGCGGCAATACGATGTAGCATGGAGATGTTTTTAATGGGACGCAAAACGATGCACTTCATAATTTGTTTTTAAGAATATGTAGATTGTTTCAATATTCGTTGCATCTGTTATAGAAGAGGAATTTGATTAGAATATTTTAAATAGATACATCGTGATTTCATCCATCAATCATCGGAATTTTAATTTGCGAACGCGTATGTGCTCATGTGCGTGCGCGTGAGTGTGTGTGTGTGTGTGTGTGTGTGTGTGTGTGTGTGTGTGTGTGTGTGTGTGTGTGTGTGTGTGTGTGTGTGTGTGTGTGTGTGTGTGTGTGTGTGTGGGTGGGTGTGTGTGCGCGCGTGTGTGTGTGCGTGTGTGTGGGTGCGTGTGGTTGTCACAAAGGATGAGCAATAATTTGACTGAAAAGTAACATATCGAATGATAGACTCATGCACACTGGCGCTTAGGCTAAACGATCTCATAGCACGGTACTTGTTTACGAGTAATAGCCACTCTATGTAAATATGCATAGAAGCAATTAAATTATAATAATGGTAAAACGTAAAATGTATGTTGTGGAAACCACCATGCATTCCAATGCTAACTCATGCTACCCCATGCTTACTTCACACTTACTTCCTGCTTA